AGAGGATACGTCTTGGCTGGATCCATGCCAGCGTCGGAGGGACAAGCGTGCGTAGCAGCTGAAACGCCGTGCCAGAGATTTCAGCTGAGTCACTGGACCACACCCCACTGGCTATATAAGCAAGGGGTGTGTCGTGTGAAACTCTTGTGACGGACAATTTTGCTGAATCTCCTGTTGCAAGCACTCCGGCAATTTATCCTGGACTTATCGTATGTTTTGGTTTTGTATTATCAGTAAAGGCTTTGGCAGGCAGCCACGAAGTTGCTGCCAAGTGTTCATTTGTATTTGACTGTGCTGAGCAGTTTTTCAGCCCTCGGCTGACTGGTTGGGGTGTGTGAGTCGGACGGGGGACAGAACAGGGTGCATGCTGGGGAGATGTCACCCTTTGTGAGGAATGAAGAAATGGACCATGCCTTGGCGCTTGCCCCGGTCCCAACCCCCTTCGCCAGAGACCCTCAGATCTGTCCCACTCCTGCCCAGGCCCCCACAGGCACCCTTGACGCGAACAATGTAGAGCTGGCCATGCCCACCCAGTAAGCCACACCCACTCCATCCACGCCCACCCAGTAGGCCGCACCCACCCTGGCCACACCCACCCGGCCTCCTGAGGGCAACCGCAATGCTGATGCAGCCCTCAGTGAAATTGAGTTTGACACCCCTGCTTTAGTGGACTTCCAAAGAATATGGAATAAAATAAATATTTTTTTAATTATATATCTTATTACCCTCAGATCTTCATGCCAGTCTTATGACTTTTAACAGTCTTATGCTGTTAAAAGAATCTGTCTGCCCAAGTGCTTCTGTCACCAGTCCAAAGAATCAAAATGATGGACAACTTTAAAGCCCTTCTGAAGTTCTGATGTAACAAGTAGGACTCTCAGTATCACTGAGAGTGTTTATTAGTGTTAGGTGGAAGGTTGATAATTGAAAATGATCCAATATTCAATAGCAATATGCAAAACTCTTAATTTAGGAAACAGAATATTCTAGATCTCCTATCTATCTCCTATCATCCCTATCTGGTTATTTGGGAGATTAATCTGTTAGTCTTCTGGGAATAAATCTTCTAGAATTGGAGGTAGGTTGTAGTATTGCAGATGTTCTGTTTAAATGGACAGGTAACTTCATTTGAAAGAAAAACATAGCAGTAAGATAAGGCCTGCTAGTATTTGAAATATATGAGTTCTTTTTTTATATTAAGTTAACTTTTTTAAAAGTGTACCTTTTTTCTTATCCAACTTAATGAGAGATATGAGTTTAATGTTTTGTTTTTTTAAAGGGGAAAATGGTTTAGAACAGTTTATCTAATATTGAGAGGGAAATGGATATAAAGGGCAGCTTTGAGTCCTCTATAAAATTAGTATAATTGTACCTTTCCAGGTTTTTTTTGTTACAGAATTGAAATTACCTACATTGAAGCTCTGGTCAAAAGATCAATTAGAAATCCTACATGAGGACAGTAAGTGGGAAAGTACTGCTATGCTCAGGAGTGCTGCAGTAGGTACATTGTTGTGTATTACATGAGCAGTAGATTCATCATCCTGGTCAATTTATATAGACTTCTCTGATTCTGATACATCATCACTTGGTTCAGATACTAGAGCAAGCCACTGACTGTTTGATCCTTTAGTAGAGTTACAAGATGGTTGATAACTATGTTCTTTGTCTAGGAAAGCAAAGTTTTTCTTGTAAATTGGAAATAGGAATAGACTTTTTCTGTCATGCTTTTTAATTGATTGATTATGTGCTATCAAAGTATTTTTGACTTTAATGATCACATTGATAGATTTTCTTCATTATGATCTGTTTCATCAACTACTGAGTCCATCCACCTTGCTGCTGGTGATCTGTTCTCTTTCCTTCCACCTTTCCCAGCACTAAAGCCTTCTCTAGAAAGCTAGGTTTTCACATAATTTGTCTGAAGTAGGATAATTTGAGCCTGGTCATTTGTACCTTCAGTGAGAACTCTGCATTGATTTGTTTGCTGATACATTTGTTTGTTTTCTTGGCTATCTCCAGTATTCTCAGGAGTCTTTCTCAGCACCAGAGTTCAAAAGCATCAATACGCTTTGTATCCTGCTTCTTCAAAGTCCAACTTTCACTTCCATTGAGTGTTACAAGGAATTTCACAGCTTGCATGATTCTGATCTTTGTAGGTAGAACAACATCATGACTATCTTTTCCAAGGCGTACATGGCTGCTTCATCAAGTGCTAATTTGCAGTGTATTTTTAAGTGCTTGTTCCTTTACTGCTGAAAGTTGATCTTAAAAGAAAAAACCATCCACCACTGATATTGTCATTGCTAATTCTAAGACTGGTTATTCTATCTGTTGTCATTCATTTAGTCTTGTTATATTTATTTCCATTTTTTTTCACTTTCCTCCTAGAGCTTTT